TCATCTTTGTGTTTTTGTGCAGTAACAAACACTTTTTTTTCTGCTTCATCCCTCTCATGCTTGCACCTGAGCTCTGGAGCCTTATTTCCAGTTCTTGGGCTCTTGTATATCTCTGAGTGTATATTACAAAAAGGGTCTCTAGCTGAGGTCACTGTTTTCAGAATGGGGTTTGTTTATAGAGAGGGCTTACCTGTGAGGAAGGAGAATCTCTGACATCTTTGTTCTCAGTCGCTTTTTGTCTTCATGCTGTTGAGTCTCATAGTGGTAGTTCATGAGAACAGCAGTAAAACAGCAAATATTATGGTTTGTAACAATTAAAAAACTTTTGTCGTTGTGGTGAAAGACAGCTATGTAAGTGATATTATTACTTCCAAACACCATTTGTACATAAAATATGGACGTAGCCTCCAGGTTTGACAATTCCAGCCAATGTGGAAGTGACTTAAACCTTAATTCTTTCTAACAGACAGCAGGGGGCAACTCCTCTGGTTGCAAAACAAAGTCTGATTGTATAGAAGTTCAAGAGGGATTCCCCTAACTTGTCACCTGATATGGTACATCAATAAACCTGTTCCGAATGAGTTTATGGTCTTGATCGCTACTTTCAAGTCTCCTTCAATAGAGTGTGATGTTTGTTTTGTCAGTTATGGTCCCATTTAGAGGAACAACAAAGTCTGATATGTTTTAGTACTTTGTGACTGATGTAGCAATAGTAGTGCCGTGCGTAGTGTTCTCAGGCTCCTCAGTCAGACCCACACCTCACTTCTCATTTCAAAAGACTAAGGTGCCGACGGCCAAATTCAAAATTCAAGGCTTCAGAATAGTAATCCACAAACCAATGGGTGATGCAATGGTGGCTCCATCCATCTTTAATCTACAGTTGATGTCGTGTTAGGACTAATGCTTTACAAAGTAACTTGAGTAGTCATTTTGCAATTCAAGTATTTTTTTTTTTTTTTTTACTTTTACAAATAAACAAACCACTAAATTTGAAAAAAAAAAGTATCATATTTTCCATGTTCCTTTCCATGACAAAAATACACAAAAAAGGCAGAGGCAGCTGTCAGTAACACTGCATGTATCTGGCCAGTTTGCTGTCAGGTGCCATCTGTCACGCACACTCACTTTCTATTCACCTAAAACAATCAAGTTTTTTCATTACTGTATTGGTCAATTGCAAAAAAAACAAACAAACCCAAAACAAACAAACAAACAAACAAAAAAACACATGCATGAATTTTATGCATTGAGTCTGACCCTCTTGAATTTCTGTTTTCTCGGAATAAAACCAAAAAAATGACAGGGTTTATTGTGTCTGCCATTTCTGTTATTAGCAACATACAGACTGTGGGTCACAGAGCAGGTTATTCAATGAGACAGAGACAATGTCACTGTTTAATTAGGGTGAATATGCAAAACAAAACAAACAAGCAAACAAAAAAACAGACTTTGGACCAAACATTTGTCCTGGATGAAGATCCTGTGAACTTTTGATTCATTTAAAAATCACATTTATTTATTTATTTATTTCACAAATAAATATGCTTAGTGGGAAATTCTTCATATCTGGCACAAACATTTACTTGGACTCGAGGATGAACTGTTTAGATTTTGGTGGTCACTACGAACTCAGAAAACACACTTTACACCATAACTCAAATATTCATATGTTAATTATATAGAAGTTCCACTCAAATGTCTCATAGGATGAAATGATGAAGTAATGACATTTTATTGCCAAAAGGTCAAAGGTTAAGTCGGACATGGGTGTGAACGGAAACTTAATCAGTCCCTCCCAGCTGAGATGTGAGTGGAGGAGGCAGGAAAGATACGAGAGGAGAGAGGAGTCGAGGCAACAGGCGGTTAACAGAACGAGATATTCTTGTTTCAGAGTCGTCGTTCTAAAGCGTCATTAATTAAGTATGCTGGATATGCTGCATCATCTGGCTTGTTGTAGCCAATGATCTCTGGCAAATGGGCAGAACAGTGTTCATGAAAATGTATTTACCTACAACGCAACTGAAAACGTGGCACAATGTGACAAGAATAGACTATATCTTATGTGCGACTTCTCATTTCTCCAACTCTCTACAACCAGCAAGGAGAGTGCAGAGGTGGTAAGAGCCTCGAATCCACAATACTAGTAGGACCATGTTGGAATAAACACTGTATGCTACTGAAATCTGACAGCTCATGAAATCCATTTGTTTTCACTTAACTGACTGTGATATTAGTGAACCTCTGCAGTAAACACATAAAATTGTACCATCAAGCATCAGCATTGTTACACAGCTGCCTGCTGACTAAAGACAAAAATGTCAAGTGAATAATTAAAATGTTTCTGTTTGAGGACTTGAGTGAAAGTAAGATGTGGTTACACTTCAGCAGAGGGGCTCTGATCCTTGTTGCATCTTTGATTTCATGTCTCAGTTTTACATACGAGGTGTGGGTTTACTGAATTCATGCTTTGAAAGCTACATTTGGTTTCGATGGCAAGTTTAATTTGCATGAAATGTTTGTAGGACTGTGACTTTTTAGATGTGTTTGGATTCTGTAGCTCTGACTTCACACCAGCTCAGAGCAGAAGTAATGAATCTTATGCATTCGCATTTTCCTTAACTGTTGTGATACACTTAAATAACTCAGGAAAATGGTTTCCAAAATGACACTACTTACCATTAAAGACTGGATGACATGTCTACAGGTTTCTGTTTGATACATATGCATTTTCTACTTGAGGAACACTTTGTATTGCAAAGGCAGAGCTCTGCTGCAGCCACAGACTTATTTTTCAAAGTCAAACACATTTGTATTTCATGTAATAAAATATAATATGGTCACTGAGCAGCCGAGCTCTTGGGACTGTAATAGATACCTACCTTCAAATCACCTTTCCTGAGTGGTAATTTGGCTGCTAGCGACAGAATGCTTAATAATGTTCTCAGTGAGCATTAGTTTGATGCATGGGAGTCAGAAAGCTGATTTGTTACAGCAGAGGTATCATTTAGCTGAATGTTTCTGTGACACCTCTATTAAAGGCTCTGGCTTTGAGTACACACCGTAGGGCCGGGATCTGAACTGACGGACACGGTAGGCCCATCAACATTCATAATGGTAATGGGAGAAAAGGACAATCGTCGTGAGAGTAAATGAACAGCGAGCGCAACACACTGCTCAACTAGCTGAATGAAGAATGAAGGAGAAAATGAGGCGGCAAACTGCTGACATGATTGGCAAGGGAAGTCAGGGCAGCCCACGAGGCCGCATTAATGCTGGGATGAAGCATATGTTTGCCAGTTTGGCTTTACCTGCAGGACCAGTGAGAGGTAAGGAATGTCCACTGAGTGAAACAGGGCTCTGGAGAGGAGCATTCACCCATCACCCATCCTTTGATATGTGCATGAAGTGCTAATGTGTGTGCGCTCAGCAGGGTGCTCCATGTCCACCCACTGAGCCATTGTCACCACATGCTACAGGTGCTATCAGGACTGAGGGTGCACGGAGCTGAACAGAGGCGTCCTTTGTTCTGTGTTGCACTGCAGGTGTCTTGTGGCTTCCAGTGTTGCTGCTGGTAAACAACACTGTGGTCACCGAGAGGCAAATAAAAGCACTTCCATGTAGAAGTTCTTTGGCTTATTTGGCATGGCAGCGTCAACCGGTTTGATCGGTTACCATGGTATTTTGAACAGATATCAACAGTTGGCAAAGCAAGACGCCTGCTCTGCTGACTGGGGAATCCCATGAGCTCTCCTGCGACTCTACCACTGCCGACATGTTTGGCTTTTAGTGAAATGTCTCAGCACCTATTGGATAGATAGCCGTGAAATCTGTTCTACATACAGGTGCATTCAACCAAGTTGAATGGTCTTGAATAGGATATATTCATTATACATTAATATTTCAAGCTTTTTTAGTTTTATCCAGTATTGCAAAGCCAGTATCTCAAATTATTAGAATATTTCCTACCATTAATCAAAGAAAGGTTCTACAATACAAACATGTCAAAAATTGAAGGGCAAGAACGAACTCGAACACTATTTTTTCAAACCACCATCGAAGATTAAGTCCAAAAAATGAGAACATCATCAAGGCTGTGATAACAAACTAAGATCAAGTGTGTCCAAGGTAAAGAATAAGCTGATTTATTTTTATTTTTAGCCAATCAGGAAATTAAGTGCAACAATTTCGCTAATCAATCATGAATCATATTTGAGGAAAAAAAGTTGCTTCTCAAATATTTTCAGATTTTAAAGTGAACTAAATATCTTTTTTGGCAGTTGGTCAAAAGAAACAGGGCATTTGAAGACGTCACCATTCTCTGGAAACTTTTTTTTTTTTTTTTTAAATTTAAAGTCAACTGACGTAGAAATGAGTTAGATGTCGAAACAAATTGGAATTGTAGCTCTACATTGGCCAACTGCCGACTTTGACCTTAGCGGATATTGTGACATGTCATACCAGGAAAATTGCAGGTGGAGTTAAGAACATGAATAACAACTGCATTCCATTTAATTACATCAGCATTGTAACTTACTGAGACGCTAGAACAGAACAAATCATCTTTAAAGGTAGTGGAGCTGGATGATTCTGCAATAAGTTATGATTCTTGACACAAAAATGGTTACAGTTTTGTGGGAAATGACTTTGCCTGCATGGTGTTAGTGATGATTCACAGATTGCCAACATTAGACATATGGACAGTGTTTGTGTGTAATCACGTATTGCTGCCTCAAACTGACAACGCATCCTTTACTGCCTATATTGCTTAGTCATCTTCTATCATTGCAAGTGTTGTGGTTCATAGTCCACTAACAAATGTGTAGCCCAGTGATCTAACCAGCACACAGGCTTAACGTCAGTGCAGCAGGGAATTTAAATCATATTCAAGGCAAGTGTGGCATTTTTACGTCAGTACACAGAAAGTTTCCTACATTATTTTACTCCTGGTTAACTGAAAACACACACACAAACAATGAAGAAAAAGAAAACAAGAGAACAGCGAGAGTGCTTCATTTTTATTGTTTTCTTTTTGCATGCTAGGTTTTACTAAAATAAAGCAATCGCCTGGCAAAAAGTACAGGACCTGAAAGTGACGGAAAGCAACAGATAAAGAATATTAAAGAAATGTATAAGGAAGCCCTGTGTAACATTGTAATAAACCTATCTATAAAGCAGACAAGTACAAGGGAACCCAGTGTGTGGTTTGGTTAGCATCTAAGGTGTGCCTGTTATAATCAGGAATATGACAGAAGTGTAACAATAAACCAGAAGCACAACACACACACACAGAGGATTTAATAACAAACAAAGGACATCTCTCGATCAGGCGACTAGAGCCAGTCAAACCATGGTCACGACAACATTGTCAATCAGCAGGGACAGTTGAGCAGAAAACATTGTTTTTAAATAAAATCACAACCTGCAATCTGATATAACTTAATATACTACACAAATCCCTGAACATTTTATTAAAAGCTTCACGTTTTGATGCTCGGTAATCAGTGCGATCATGAAGACATGCATTCCTGAGATCAGACAGTTACATTTTGATGAATATATCTGAAGGAACATAATGGTCAACAAGAACATCAGAGCTACCATGAAACGATCAACCTGTCCTGAGATGTAGATGCAGTAAAAAGCCGTCTTTGTACACTACGTGGAGTGTACAAGACAGCAAACACTTTATGAACAAGTTACTTCGCAGTGCTCCATGTAGCTGAAAGAAATAAATCACTTTCAGACAGACAAGAAAACAGCTAAATGTAAGCTGTCATTATGGAGTGTGAGGTCATGTGAGGTTGTACTCAAGCAAAGTCTGACTTTGCAGCCTGCTTTTCCCATCACAGCTGACCAGTACAGTAACATGACGTAACTGAAACAGCTTCAGTAAAATACACACTTCATTTGTGTGGTTAAGCCGTTTTTTTTGGTTTTTTTTGTTCCCCAGGCAGAGTAGATAAACCACTCGCCATAAGGCCACCATGGTCATAGTCTTTTGTTTCGCTTCGACTAGGACAGGACATCGAAGTTTTTAAGATGCTACAGGGACTTCATGGCATAATTGACATTCATGAGACAACATCACTTGTGTTTCCTCCTTTGTAAAAACTTTTTGTTTGGCAGAATAGACTCCAGCTAAAACATCACCCTGAGCGGTAGCTTTGTGAGTTGCTGGTGCAACAGATACACAAGCTAACCCCCCAACAGGGCATTAAAACCACATGTGACATTCAAGAGGCAACACTATTGATGCTGCTCATGCCAAGAGCACTTTAGATGGTATTCTTGTGCTATTCCAAGTAGTAGCTTTCAGCAACAACAAACTCACACCTTAAGTGGTATTCATTGGGCGACAAGTTTTCAAAAGGATTTCCTTGAACAATTCCGCCATCTTTAAGACTTACAAAAGTATTCACCATTTTGAACAGCACGCTCCTTGATAATCTCAGCTGTTCGCCTTTGATTAATGTCAAGCAAAACTTTCAGGAGCTCATTTAAATTGGCTTCTCTGCCCACTTTTTCTATCCAAATATTCAGCAATTCGTGAATCATCTCCTCATGGGAAAGGGTCTCTCTGCTTTTGATCACATTGTCGCTAATCCCAAGGTGACGGAAGAACTTCTTGCACTGGTCCACGGCTACTTCTTCAAATAACTCAAAGCAACTCCTGAGAGACTCTTCACCTGCAAACAAAGATAAAGACCTTCAATTCAAGCAGGCTTCACTCTGGCATTTAATCTCCATTGTAGTGCTCACATTTATTGTGAACATTTAGAACTTGTCTATGAGTTTGACTGTGTGGACTCAGTTGAAAAGCAGTGCTACAAGTCAAGTGTTTAGACCTTGCTGTTCTTAACAAAAGTGTACCAAAGTGTCAAACTCATACATATATATTTGAATTTTAGAGAGAAAGATTGAAAATAAAAACACTTTACCATTCACAGGGACAAGCTCGGGAAACTGCCTATCTTCCTAAATAAAAAGAACGGAAAAAAAAAAAAAAAAAACATCCATTAATATCAAAATCTTTACAAGTCATATATTGTGAACCCTGGTGAAGCCCATTCATTCCTTATTCACTTGGCAGTTCAGTGAGCTGAATTGTAAAGCATTTGTTTGCCAAACAGATTTCTCAAAATGCAGCGATGTATGTTCCAGTGTGTGTGTGTGGATGGAAATTAAAGCAAGTAACATCTGATATTCAAGCTGTGATAAGCAACATTCTCTGTTAATGTTAATCTTTTACTGCTGCAGCAGGGAACATGTGAGTCATCAGCTTCTGCTTCCAATAATATTATCACAGCTCTGGACAACACAGTGACAGTAGCCTGCCACAGTTTGACGCTGAATACAGCAAATCAAATGTCTGATAATTCATTGTTTTCTAAAGCCGAGTGTCCCTGGCTTCTAACAGTGCAGGTCAGTGTTGCAAACTCAACTCCAGTGGGGAATTTTGGTTTCAAGACAGACAGGAAAGACTGGAGTGTGTGCTGAGAAAGTAACAAGTCTCACTGCTGTTACAGTAAATAATCAGTGAGTCACTGGGAGTGGTCAATATGTATAGCACTATAACTCTGTGCTGCTGGAGGACAGTGGAAATCTTAACCTCTTAGAAATCTTAAACATTTTTGAATAGCAAATTTTATCCACAACTCAAACTTTGTGGAATTATATGTGTCGCTGAAAGATCCTAGTATACTGTGAAAATGCACGAGTAACACTTTGACAAGACAGCTGTATTGAACATGATCCCTGCACTTTGTCATGTAAAGACTGAAGTGATAAAAGTGGAGAAGAGGAACAGTCAAATCAGTGTAACCAGGCAGCTGAGGGTGTCTGCGCAGTTAAGGTGGCAAAGCATTCCTTAGCAGGAGCAAACAAGGAATAAGCAGCCGAGAAGAAGAGAAGCAGGGACAGAGGGGAGGATGGAAGCAGGGGTGAAGATGAGCTGCTGCTGCTCTCACCCTCCTGTTGGGCTGCCCGGGGCTCTTGGGGCTGGCTTGGGAAGATGCGGGGAAGGCAGAGTAGGACGGGCCGTTTAGACTGTGCTGCGAGTTACTGGCTGAGCTGTTGAGGCTTTCACACAGCATTTTACGCTCATCCTCCACACCGACTGGGGATTTGGCTCTCACCAGTTGCCGGGACAGGCTAAGATTTGTGTTGCTTGGCCTTCGGGTTTCTCCGTCCCTGCATCCTTCAGTGGGATCGGTGTCTGTATAATGCTGGGAAGCACAGGACAAACAAACAGGCGTCCTTTAGATGTAAGAATCATGTTTATCAGGTAAGGGGTGTTGTATTCATCTTTTTTTTCCTTTGACTGAAAATATCCATTACATTTAAATAAACAATTTGCAATCAGCTTAGCTTCCTGCTTCACTCCTGTTCATATTAATCCTGCAGTAATGCCAAAAATAATAGTGACTCACCAGACCAGCTTTCATCCCACCAGGTCTCTGAGATTCTAAGGAAAGGATGTGAACAGAGGATTGTGTCATTTTAAGAATATACCCATACGAGCAGCTATTTAACTTTTGTATGATCTAATTAATCATTCATGCTTTTTGTTTCAATTACAGCTATGCTGAATACCATAGGCCAGAAAAATACTGCTGCTCTTTATGAGCTCTAACATTCATTGCAGGACCTCTGGCCACACCAATCAGCAGTGTCACTGGGGTTTTCATCAGTCAGAAACAAAACCTGACTAACACAGTGCCACATTTTGCTGTCCTGAGCACAGTTACCCACAGCTATGGTAAATGGCAGATTCTGGGAAGGCGGGGGAGACATCTTTACATGGCACAGTCCAAGTGGGAGGGTATTTACTACACCAACCAACAACTGACAGCAGGAAACTTTCAAGTTGGGCCTGAATGATAACGGCATACGCCCATACAGACTGCGCTTTAACAAGTTTACTATGTGAGCCTCCCCTGATAATTACATTATAATCAAATACACCTCATTCTACCTTTGTCAACAATAATTTTTAGTGCCTCATCTGCTGCAACACCTGCTGCTGTGAGCTCATCAACTCAAACCTTTAACGTCATATGTGCCACTGCAATCCAGTTTTGCAGCATTCTGTGCCATACTTCCACAGAAAAACAGGCAGTATGCCAGTAAACTTGTGTGGGGCAATGCCATGTGTGTCAGAGACACAAACGTGATGCACTATAACCATTCATTACTTTTTCATCATCAATCTTTCTGCACAGAGCTAGTGTCTGTTTATTATGGTATGCAGATCAAATAGGTACAGTCCCACTGGTCTAGCCAGAATCCATTGCAGATAATAGAAGGCATATTTTAAAGGGAAAGTTCTGCCTGGAAAACATATTTGTTGTTTAGTTAAACCATGCCAGTCTTGTTAGTCTCATACAAGGTTGTCAAATGCAAATGAAAGCCAGAGCTTCAAGGACTATATGAAGATGTAGCAGCTCTGGATGTACAAGCAACAAGGAGCATGTCAGGTAATTCAGTATCACCTGAGTGCATCTATTTCTGGTGCAAAGAAAAATCAAGTGCAAGTTCTCCACAACACTGAGGCATATTAACACCAGTCAAAGCAATAACAAGCACAGGAGGTGTTTTTTTTTTTCTTTTTACAGATATGAGGCCAAATTAATAGAAAACACATCTACCTAAGGTGCTTGAGAGTTGCTGTATGTGCAGTGTTTAAAAATGTAACTTACTATGTGAGCTGAAATACTTTGCTGCAATAATTTGAATAAGTGTTGCCTGAGTAATGTTAAGGTAATAAATGCCAAACATTTCTCAGCTTACACTGTCAAGTTGGGATGATTTGCCACTTTACTTTGTCTTATAAGACAATTTCTAAGTGTTGGAATTAAGTTGGAACAATTTTCACAATTTACTGACATTTTATATTCAAAAATTATTTATCAAAAAAATAACATATTATCAAATAATGACAATAATAAGCTTCTATGCTGCAAATAAAATATCAATATCAAAATATGTGGCCTGTGTGCAGCTGCACTCCAAAAACCTCCAGCTAACACAGGGCAAAAAGTGAAGGACACCAGTCACCAGTCTGTCAGGGCCGACCCAACTCCAATGAAAATTTTAAGTAGGAAAATACACCTAATGTCTCAGGTGTGGCCAGATGTGCAGCATGCACTTTACTGTGTTATGTAATTCAGTTTGTTTTCTATTCAGACCAAAAATGTTTTCGGGACTTCAAATGAACAACATTTATTAATAGATTCATCAGAACCCAGGAAGGTGTGCACCTACATTCCCAGTGTCTTTGGACTCTTTACTTAACAAGAACATCATTAGATGTAAAGCTAAAGTCCCATAATGACACTTCAGTACCTACTATTGAAGAATGTGAACTTCTTAGGCAAGACGCGCAGTTCCACAGCACAGAAATGAAAATGTGTTGTGTCATACCATGTGCCTTCATCCCCTTTATAAAAATCTAATCCTCTGTCAGGTCTTAATTTCCTGACTGCACCTGTTGATGTTTTGATGTGTTCCGAGTGACAGAAATTCAACATATTCTTTAAAAAATAAAAAGCATACATTTTGGGAAGATTGTTTTAAAATGTTTCCAAATAAAGTCTTAAATGTTCGTCACATTTCTTCGCACTTAATTTCTTGCTTTCATGTAAAAAATTCTTGCAATAAAGATATGCAAACTGTACGCAGTGGTTGTGCATTTGACAAGATGTTTTGTTGTGTATTGTATTGTCTTAATTCCACCTACCTTGTTTTCTACGCCTCCACTTGTATGTAGCAAATATTATTACGCCAACTAACAAAACAGCACCCACGACAATGATCGCAATCACCCAAGCCTTGCCTGAAAAACAAAACAAACAAACAAACAAGCATAATGGTCTACCATCAGCACCACATTACAGATATAATATGAATAACATGTTGAACAGTTTACAGTTTAAGTAAATCTGTCTACAGGGTACTATTGGCCATAAATTTTACACTTTGTTTCTTTTTGGGTGTCGCAGCTTCACATGCGTAAAGTCAGACACTTAATAACAAAAGACATAATGCAGCATTTACATACATGTTTCTACAGTAACCAGGTGACACCAGCTTTCAGAGTACTGTACCTGAGGAAGAGTCAGATTTGGCTTGGATTTTCTTGCACTCTGTGTTGCTGGTTGAAGTGCAGTTCCTCACTGTCTCTTCATCTTTTTTACATCTAGTTTAAAGGCAGATGAATTGAAAGCATGAAAGAATTCAAGTTAGCAAGGCTGTCACAGAAATAGTCATCAATTGAGAAATGAGTGTCACATAAAGGAATGGTCTCCCATCACTCACTTTGAATGAAGTGTTCTCAGTTTGGCTGGCACACACTCACCTTGAACACTTCTTGCATACTTCACATGCTTGGTCAGGATCACAAAATCTCCCTGATTTGCACCGACATTCTGTATCTTGTGTGTGAGTACACGACCTTACAATTTCCTGATCTGAGAGAGTAACATGAAAAAGACCTTGTTAAGTCTGAATTTATGCTCAGAGTACTCTGAAAAGGTTGAATATTGATTTTTTTTTCCTTCTACAGTCATTGGAATTGATAGTGGAAAAGCATCAGACAGAATTACCTGAGCGGCACAGTGTGCACTTGAAGCACTGTTTCAGCCCATTGGCATGCTCGATGAATGTCCCAAAGTCGCATTCCTCACATTTCCCCTTCTCTCCTGCTTTGGTGCAGGGTGATTCCACATGTGTACCTAACACACCCAAGAAATAGAGCACAAAGTGTCTTTATACACATATTTAATTGAGCCTTCAACTAAGCCTGTCACTCTAGCTAAATAATAACCACTCAGACTGCTTCATAGGGCCTGTGATGGATTTCTGGTTCAAGCTGGTCACAGAACTTCAGTCTCTGTGGACTAAATCAAGTGTGGCTCCATGTGGCTTACCAGCTGGACAGTTTAAACAGCAGATGTTGCCATGCGGGTACTCCAGGTTGTCTCTGCAAGAGAGGTCCTGCTGTGTCCTGCTGTCTCTCAAGTCAAGGCCAGACTGTGGATATGACCTCGTGGATTTTGGGAGCCAGATCAATACAGAAAAAACCTTTTGGAAAAAAGATGAGGGCAGTCAGTGTGTAAAATGTTCTTCGTTGTAGAATCAGTTTCAGTGAGCACTTTTGTAACTGAAAACTTAACAAGTAGACCAATTAGTAAGAAAAAATAAAATCATTTTGGTAACATTTTTAAGCAAAATATATCTTTAGGGCCTTCGCCCTATGTCAGCTGGGATAGGCTCCAGCTCTCTGCAACCCTAGTGAGGATAAAGCGGTGTGTACATAATGGATGGATATCTTTAAAGGTTTTCAGTCTAGGACTAGGCTTAACTCCTGTCTGGGGAATTGAACAATCGCCAGTTTTCTTAAATTCTTTTGGGATTTTAGAATGTTGGCCAGGACAAAACAAGACATGTACATATGCGAAAATCTGCTTTTGTAAATAAAAATGGGTTATGTCTTCTGTTTTATTGTCTTTCATCAAATATATGGAATTTTATATACCAAATGATTATTCACAAAAAAACACTGGCAGACGAAAGGATACTGACAATAATCACAAGTGTTGTAACATTATTTTACCTTTATTGAAAAGGTGCAGCTCTTGCGATCTAGATATTGCACTTACTGATTTTGATCATCTTTCAATAATTGTTGAGTTCTAGTTTTGAATTCTGAAAACTGAAAACATCCCCTTGGAGTTTGGGAGACTGTTGACAGTTTAAAGAGCTCAATGAATCAACTGAGAAAATAATCAGCAAACTAACAAAAAATATTTTCCTATTTGCAATGATATTATATGACACAAAAACTTGCAAAGCAATACCATTTACATATAAAGAGCTACCAAGAGCCTTCATTAGTGAGAATTTAACATTTTATTAGCATAGCAGGTGCTGAGTTTTTTTTTTTAATCTTCCTGTGTGTCAAACATTTATATTTGTGTAACTGATAACCAACTCCTTTGACGGCAGCCTCAAGTTCTTTGGCTCTGCTCATAGGAAATACTTACCTAGAGCTGTCATACTCCAAATAAAGAAAACAAAAAAGACAGACGCTTCCTTATATGATTGAGATAACGCAACAATTCACAAGGCTTGGCTCTCTAATGAAAAAACTTACTCCTGTTCAGGCCACTAGCTGGCAAACAAAGTCAGAGTTGAGCAAGTGAAGGGGATTTCCTTCAGATGAGCTCAAAGTCCATCTGCAGAACACAGAAGCAACTAAAGTGGTGAGCTGGTGAAGTTGATGCATGAATGTAGTTTTAAACTCACACAGAGCCATTTCTTGCCACATGCGGACATGCCAGTGCATAGGGCCCCTAAATCACCAGGGTGGCCCCATAGCTGCATGTTCAGTCTCATCTGAGGAGAATTAAAACTAGCCATCTTTATCTGTAGCTATCTTACGTGTTTATTACATCCCTTATATACTTAAAAAAAAAAAAAAAATGTAGGATATAAATAAAATAAGCCACAACGATGAGCTGTGGATAGTGTTTTTGTGGCATAATTAACTTCTTAAGACCTGGCATCGACATGCGTGGACATCACATTTTGGGTTATATTACCACAGTAGTTTTATTTTTGCATATCAAACAAGAGCTTGGGTCTTAAGAGGTTAAGTCACAATTGTTGAACTGTGAGTGATGTGCAGGCCGCAGACAGGTATGATGGGAATGACTGACATCTACCCATCGTTCCCATTAGTGAGGACATTAACGGCAAACAGTGTTATGGCATCAAACAGGAACTATCCTGGTGGGGCAGAAAAATGTAATAAGAAAGAAAACAGAAGAAGGGTAAGGTAAGGCATTTGTTCTTAATGTGGGGTGGATGAGGGGAAGGCGTAATGGGTTTTTAGGGCAGTTAAGTTTGTCATTTGTCCTGCTAGCCAGCTAGTTCAGCTTGCCTTGGATAAACGTTAGTTAGCTGGCTAGGATTTGTGTGCTCATACACCCAGCTTTAGTGTTTGCTTCATCAAAGTTGGCTAAAATAAAATGAACATGCCACATGTGAATAGACTGGGCGTCCTGCCACAGGACTGACTGACGTACATAAGTGACTCCAGACCTGTTTTGTCAGATTGCAGCAGGTACAGAGGTTGTGTTGTTGTTGTGCAGATTATTGCTATGTCATCATCCAGTGGAAATTGTCTCTCCAATATTTGTCACTTAACATTGCTTAATAATTACTTATGATTAATTTATTAAGTTTAATTTGTATTTTATAGGTCTCTAATTAGAAGTGTGCTACTGCTTTATAAATGACACTAATTAATAAGTGACTTACAAATATTAGACCTATTGTTGATTATTTTGGACTATTGTGGCAGTGAATAATTTATCTTCATTTTATTACTTTAACAAGTACAATGTGTAAATAAATGCAGAAACCTCTTAAAAGTGAGAACTTAGTAATTGCGTACATGCTTTACAGGGACACTGTACATGACGATGTTTAAAATAAAAACTAATGGTGAATTCTGTTTTAGTATTAAATCACTGCAATTATAACATAGAAATATGTGCTTATGATCTATTTTGCTTGGTAACCTAGAGGTTTGTCTTTGCAGGAGCAATTCAAAAATATTTTGGAGGTCCAGGTATTGAAGCCGAGGAGACTTCAGAACTTCGTGAACAGGAAGCCCAAAGGACCTTCATATTCCTCAGGAGCGCCTCATGACCAGCAAGTAGAGGGCCGAATCCATCTGCAGATTTACATGGTCAGCTGGGCGTTTTTGGTAAACCAGTAGATCAAGCTGACTGGCCATTAGTTCACTCCCATTCATTCAGGACACGTTTAGTAGGTAGAGGGCCATTTCAGATTAGCCCAGATTTCCCGTTTCCCAAAAAAGAAGATGGTAAAAGCTTTCATCATCATTATTTTTACAAAACATTAGTGAATGGGGAAAAGATGAAGCAGATCTGGATTATCTACTCCAGAAAAAAAGAAAACAAATAAAAATCCTTCACTGCTTTTGTTGCAAGTTATTTTCAAATACAAACACAACTTAATTACAGAGGCGCTGACAAACTGGACAAAAATAGGAACACTTTTGAAAATTCATGAAAGCAGTCCAGAACACAGGACACACGGCAACCTGGAAAGACTTTGAGCTGCATTTACAAACAGGAATGATAATAGACCAAGCTGAAAGGGCACTACTGGAGGCTGAGAAGAGGCCCAGGACAGATATCCTGACTCACTTAGTCTCCATCATACATCCTAGCTGGGACACATCTTACATTGAGAGGACTGTGAAGTTAAATATTTTAGTATTATTTTAGTGTTGGTTTGTTTTCATTGTTGCAGTTTAAAATAGATGCTAGTTTATGCTTTTTTTTTTTTTATTCCAGGCTTTCAAAATTTAAAGTAGGGATGCACGATATATCAGCGACCACATTGGTATTGGCGGATATTAGTGTTTTTACCCCTTATATCGGTATTGGGCCGATTAACAAATTTAGCCGATGTGAAAAACCGATGGCTGTCAAACATGAGTGCCTTCGTCTCTTCATTTGATATTACTGCTATGTCACAGATGTTTTTACTTAAATGGAACGTTTTTCTAAAAAAAAATAAAAAAAAAATAAATCTGTTTTATTTATTGATGTTTAGAGGACTGCTGTATTGTTTTTCTTGTATTATTATTATTGAAAAAGAAATCAGTTTAACTTGCCTGAGTGGCTCAACTTAAGATGTTTAATTTTAATGCGAGAGGTTATCATGACTGTAGCCTGTTTTGCTTGTGAAGCGTAACAGACTGTGGCACTTTCGTGGATCATCTAAAAGTGGTAGAAATCTCAAACAGCATCTTGTATAGAGCCCTGACAAAACTAGAAACGGCCCTGAACTCATGCAACAGGTTTCAAAAGCTCAGCACAAACTCATACAGTGTCACCTGATGCACTGTTATGTCCAAATACAGTCAATACCTGGCCAGATTGAAGGAATAACCAAATAAGGCAGTCACACACAGACCTGATTGTTGTACACACCCAGTATTTCCCAACATCAGAAAGGCCGCCTTACTTTGCATAGACATCACATGTGGGGGCATCTCCCAGCAAGAACGCTCACACTCATATCTCACACACACACACACACACACACACACACACACACACACACACAGACACACACACACGCGCGCGCTGCTACAGGAATTTTAATGCCCTGGCTTAATTGTTATGTAAAATGGCGTGTTTAAACATATTTAATAGTTAACATACCATAAAGTCTATCATCATTACCTGGCATTGAGGGAACGCACATACAAAACTCCGTTCAAAAGTAATTGACCGTGACTTTGTTTAACGCTGCAGAGGTATATAAGGAATTTTAATGAAAACATACAGTCATGTCCCGAATCTTTGGGAGACAGACTTCAAATCGGCCAATAAGAAATACAGAAAACACTACTTTTACTCGCAGAAATCCAAACTTTTGAAGTTTAGTTTTACACTGTCGCTGCCTTTCACCTACATACATTCATACAGTATATCTAAGCCAACAGGTTAGGTGCTGAATCTGGATCACTACACCACTGAACTGAATACATATTGTTGAATATTGCTCAAATAAATTGCTCGACAATTCAGAATATTCACACGAGCGAATCAAAAGAGCACATTCCCAAATAGAGACAGGAGCAACAAACCAGGAAGACACATGGCTGGAGGTGTGCGCAGGTTTTCATTCACTGAGCAGGCAAACGGTACCTGGAAGCTCTGTTGTGCACTGAGTCGGAATGAGTTCCACCGAATGAATGAGTCAACCTGTTACTTTGTCAAGTCTACGAGGAATTTCGCACCTGCACAGCGGACTGACGCAGACCTGCGACATTCTGTCCAGAGGCACCAAACAACCGCAAACTACCGTCCTTTTAAATTAAACTTAATTCGGTGAACCGTGGGCAGTCCTGCCACTTCAACATTCCTAAACAAACAACAGCTAACGATGAAACTTTCTTTCTTATTTTCAGGAAACGCCATTTTCCTAAACAAGCGATCTCAATTAACAAATAAACAAAAAAAAAAAGCTCCTAAAAAGCGTATGTCATTTCAAAGAAAGTACAACTTACCGTATATAGCAGGAAGTTGTTCATCGTTTAGAAGAAATGTCAGAATCCTCAGATTTGAAAAAAGTAATTCCCACAGACTGTTTATACGCGCTTCAAGTGTAAGTTTGCGGCAAAACGTGTTGACCGCCGTCGCGTGAGCCTCTGACCATAACTTTAACCCAGGTGAGCCGGCTGAGGTAATCATAAGACCGGTGGGCGGGTCCACCAACTCAGGAGTAGCCAATCAGCACACAGAGAAAACACAGCATGGCCTATCACTGGGACCTTTTTTTTTTTTTTAACAGAACTTTATTTAATAACAGCTGTACACACAACGGGCTGCATGGTGGCGCAGTTGGTAGCACTGTTGCCTCGCAGCAAGAAGGTTCACGTCCCGGTGGGGGCACCGGGATCTTTCTGTGTGGAGTTTGCATGT